TATATATATATATATATATATATATATATATATATATATATATATATATATAGAATTCCGAGTACGCTTCTAGCCACCCCTTCATTTGCATGTGTTATTAATTTGAGCGAATGTTTATAAACTCTGTTTATGTAATAATAATGTAACAATAATAACATTAATTCTTCGTTTTTAGATGAATAATGGGCTTATAAATCTGGTTTCGTATTTCGCAATACATGTTTTTTTAAATCAACCATACAAGCGCGAAAGGCTTAATACGAATAAGCTTACTTTACGTTACTTCCTCGGAATTTGTTCTTTGTGTTTCATGTTCTGCGTATTATTGTCAAATGCCTTAATAGGATTAGGCAAACTTTATCATGCGAATTCGTTTGATATCAAATCCAAGTAATTTAAAGCTTATAATCTCAAATGTAACCTTTCTCATATAAAATATTTTAATCATGTTTTTGGATCGTGCCCAACCTTGCGTGACACGTTGAGCGTGCAAAAAAGAATAGTTCGACGGTACGTGACAATAAGGTTGACTATAGTATACGCTAGAATGAGAACAAAGCCAGACACATAATGTAATGGGACAGGTTGTCATTCCCACGTACATATGTAATCTATTACTCAAGTTTGGCGTGAATTGTAACAACATTGAGTTACGTTCGTTTGCGCTTTATTGTTAAACTCTTTGTGTATTCTGGATGCCGAACAAAACCCACATACTTATTGGTGCAGAGAGACGAAAATCGACTACTTTTTTATGATACCAAGTAACGAAACGAACTAGCCGTGCACCTGGTAGTAAGCGACATGTCTGTCCAGAGCAGTTGCAATGCCACACACAAACGTTAATTTCCCAAATTAGTCGTACAGGAAATTGAATCCAGGACCTCCTCATCCAGTGCCTATAGTGCACAGTTGTGCCACCGAGGTCGTCAAGTAAAAAAAAATGTATGCTCTCCAAAACTGTAACATAAACATAGATAAGACATATGTTGACAAGTCCCGTGTGCCTTTAATTTCACCAGCTCCTACTCTGCAAAACAGGAACGCATTAATACTCGCGTTACTGCTTGCCGGCAGAAATAAGTAAGGTGGCAGTATGTACTGTACTGTAGTAAGTACATCCTTGAATGACCTCTTTCAAAAGGATCTGTACTGCTACTAAACTGGTCTTCTATAAATATCGTTTTTGACTTCGCGATGGTGTAGACGAGAATGCCAATAATTATGTAATAAGAATCTGACTGTAATAAGATTTCTGTTTAAAATATAATACTTAATTGTAATATTGTTTGTTGTTATAGTATCGAAAGCGGAGATATTGTCAGGGCCGGAGTTGTTCGTGCGAGCTGGCTCCGACATCAATCTCACGTGTGTCGCCAAGCATGCGCCCGATCCACCCAGGTAAGTAATACCCAGTGCCACTCAGGGCTTTTAATCGCAAAGATCTTAGGGGTACTGCCACTGTGCACGGCACCCAGAGACATAAGTTGACAAGTCCCGTGTACCTGTAATTTCACTAGCACCCTTACCCTTTCAAACCGGAACTCAGTAATGCTCACATTGCTTCTTGGCAGCTGAAATAGGTAAAGTGGCAGTACTTCTCTGGACAAACTCTTTACCAAGGAGCTCTACTGCTACTAAATGAAACTCACATTATCACCTACATCTAAAAACCTCGTAATTCCATTTTAGACGACATCCTTTTTTTACTCTTGAAGCACAATGTCAGCCAATTAAACCCTAAAGTTCCTAGAACTTTCTAAACTATTTTAGTTATAAAGTAAAGGTCTAATCATTGATAGTCATACAATTATTTCTAGTAATTTTGTTTCTTGTACCTACTCAGATGATTACTTAATTTGGTTTACGAATTTAGTCGACGACATGCATGTAAGCTATTAGGAAATAAATGCCAATTTGAATAGCTACAAAGAAATAGCCTAAACTTCTCATTAGAATGCCATAAAATCAGAAGCATCAATTATATTAGCATTCGAATAAGCGAAGACCCCTGCAATCAGAGCAAAGTGCTCGGAAAGGCAAAAAAATGGGCACTCGAAAATCTCATTATAAAAAAGAAAAGGACTCGTTGCGAATCGTTCCAAATAAAAGAGCACGTTCCTTCGCTCGTTGAAGATTCGGGATAACTCTCTGCAGTCATTTGCGTCAAACGTGACGTGTGTGGAATGATATCACAAGACGCGTAACTAGCTACTCTAGTATTGTTTTGACACGGACGAGGGCCTACATTCTATAACAAAAACCGTAATCATTAGCGAAATGTAAAATTGTGCCAGTATTGTGTTAATGATCGTTGCGGGAAATCATTTGTCCAACGAGTAATAATAGTAATAATAATAATAAATAATTTCCCAAGGAGCACACTTTATAAGCCTTAAAACTGTTATATCTATAAACAGTCTTAATATGGTATAGATTTAGATAATAGTTCTCTATAAATGGTTTTAGAAAAAAGAAATTGTTCTTATAGACTTATTTCACTCAAGTAAAAATTTTAACACCTTCTTAATACCAAACAACTTAATTAAGTGTAATCTCTCTTAAGATTTACTTTTATAGTCCTTATTTTAAGTTCATCTGTAGAACAATTGATTATTTTTAGCAAAATTGTTCTATACACATCCAGTAAAATCTATTAATACTCTAAAAACTAGTGTTCTTAAGTTTATTCTAGATCTATTTCATTTATAGACATTCTGTAGTGTTCGTACATAAAGCGCAAACACGTTATAGCGCGTCTTCAGTAGATTTTATTTTTTTTAAATACTACGATTAGGGTTTTTACTCTATTGGACGTTGTAAGAGTTCATGCAAAATGGATAAAGTAAAGAATATTAAAAGATCTGGTGGAGGTGCTAAACCTTGGATATTAAGTCACATCATTCGATACAATCAGCGTTGCCAATGCCAATTGTTCAAAATCCCCAAAAATCACTATATAATAATAATAATAATAATAGCGTACACACTCAACATAGCCCCGCACTAGGGAAACCCTGTGTCGCGGGTGCCATGGACACACACGTAGACAATCACAAATTACATCCAAACTCACGAGAGAAATGAATGTATAGGCCATACAAATATTTCTCCCGACCCGGGAATTGAACCTGGGACCTTTGCATGGCAGTCCGGCATGGTAACCGTTCGGCCACCGAGGCAGTTATATTAATTATAATATTAATTAGATTCAATATTAATCTGTAATCAGTCTGAACAAAAAATCATTTTTCTTTGCCTTACAAAATTAAGTAAATAGATTATTTGTTGTGCATTTGGTTACACTATATTAACGTTAGAAATAATCAACGAGTTGCGACCTTTATTTAATATTTAAATTTGAGGAGTGGTAAGTTGTAGTGTGGAAGTACTAACTGCCCGGCTTTGTTTCTCAATAGCTGATTTCGTTTTGCTTCGTACCGGGGACCGTCCGCTTCCTAAGCGGGAGAAAGAATCGCGAACTCAACATGCACCGATTGCTAATTTTACAATTCAGAACCAAGTGCTCTAATAATCATTCTATTTAAGCTGCTTGTTAATAATACGAGGGATGTGCGACGTTGAATAACACGTCGATATAGTCCATCACAGTGTTTCTAACAGTAACGATCAAACTAGCGATGCATCAGCAATTGATAGATTAAACAAAATGATAAAATGTTAGAATCCCCACATTTTCCTCACATAGCGCCAATCCCCATAAAATCCCCAATCTAGTTGAAGCTACCCACAATTTGGGGAATTCCCTGCAAATTGGCAACGCATACAATAGTCGTAATTCGCGCTCGGGCCGGTCATGGCCGGCATTTGTTTGTTGACAAATAAATAAACATTGTGAAGTAATTCCGTGTTGTGAAATGATAAAAACAATTGAAATGAGCGCGTAAACTACTGTACTTCAATGTTGTGTATGTGTATTGTGCCGTCTATCAATAGAATACAGTGAAAAAATAACCTAAATTTTGTAATGACAATTTTATTTTTCCATCATAAGTTAGGTATGTCATTAAAATATTCCTTATATTTAAATGATAGGAAATTTATCCACCTTTCTAGTCATATTATAACACATTTTATATAATTATACTGAATAACGTTTTTTGCGACAAATTGGATTTTTTCCAATTGTTTTTTTGACCTAGTGTTTTGAAAAGTTTTTTATTTTGTTGGTAGGTCAATGCATAAACGCTCTCTTTTTCGTATAACCTTATAAAGGTTTTACTGTCAAAAGACAAAATCGCTTAGAAACATCGCGTTTTGTAGACAATCATAAAAATCTCATAGGAGGAATATTCTTCGACAAGTTCAACTACACTAAAGCAAGTAAAAATAATCTTTTCGTATTCTAAAGTTTTTCTATAGATAAAGCTATAGACAAAATGCTCCAACTGTGTTTTGAAAAAAGCTTTAAATTCTTATCGCCATTTTTATTTTTAAAGAATGACTATGAAGTAGCCGAGAAAAATTTATTTTCTTTTTAAAAAGCAAATCTAAGTTGAAATTAGCTTGAAGAAGCCTAGAACTTCTTGGAAATGGTTTGTTTTGTGAGTTATTTTGTATATTTAAGCTTTCTATAAATATTTAAAACCGAAAATCGATAACTGTATTTTTATTAAGTTTATATTTTATACATAAATATTTAAAATTTAGGGAGCGCATTACTATTATGGCAGGTTTTACATAACTTTTCACAATATATTTAAAGTCGCACGTCAATTTGCGCTTTCTAACCGATTAAACATTGCGCAAAAAACTCAGAAATATTGTATCTAATTTCGCTATGTTGCAATTTTGATAGTTTATATTTTGTAAGCCATTAAACTTGAAATCTATTAGTATTAAGAGAATTGCGTCCTATGTTTGTAACGCTTTAGTGTTTTGGTTTTAAAATAGCATTACTAAGAGAACTATCATAGATTATAAATTACCTAAAAACTATCTACAAGACTAAATAAAACTGTCTACATTCTACAAAAGGGTCATGTAGCATTCTAGAAGGGTTACTTCAGAAAAAAGATAAGAATCACTCTTAACACTACCTACAGATAGTTTCTCAAAGCACTCTTGTGATCTACTAATAAGTTGTGCCCACTTTTACTTTAAATTATCTAGAAACTTGAACTTGAAAAAGAAGAATTTGAACTCTTAAAATATTCAATCGAATTAAATTCTATTAGATATTTTATAGTATATATTTAGATATAGGTGTGCTGCTTGGGTTATTTGGCATACAAGGTCCACTTTTTAGTAAATACAGACAATTTTACCTTATGACTATTATTAGTAAATACAGATAAAACATAAAAACACACGTTATTACGCACGAGGCGCCGACTACCCGGCGCAATAGTTTTCAGGGTGCTGTTAGGGCTAGAACGCAGTATATAGAGTAGTCACGCCGTCTATTTTCGCATCACAGCAAAACGTCAACTACAATGCGCTACAGTGTCGTGGTAGGCCCAATAGCATCCTGAAACCGTTATTATATTGAACGCGCAGGGCGCCGAGTGCCTTCTGCGTATAGTTAACTCACAGACCACCCGTGAAGAAGGGTCGACAGTATGCCTTGAATAAAGTTATAATAATATATAGCACCAGAATATTTGAAGAAGACGGAACTAATATCAAAGACTAGCCAGGCCTCGAGGCCGTTAGATCGTTTTCGTAAATTCTTATTGATTCTTCTTCATCTTATTGTATCACATACACCATTGCTGGCTGCTAACAGTTATCTGCGTGTTTGCAGTTAATGCGCTAAGTCGTAATTAACTTCATGTAGCCGAGACCAAGACTGCATGAAGTTGATAACGACTTTACGCATTAACCGCATGCTGTCGATCTCGGCTGCGTTCATGCATGCAACCGACTTCAGTCGGTTTCAACTTCATGCAGTTAATGCGTGAAGTCGTTATCAACTTCATGCAGTCGAGGTCTCGGATTATTTTTAAATACAAGAACGTAATATGGAAATTTCATGGAAGACGAAAGCAAAAAATGTTTCTTAGTTCTCTCAATGAATAGAACGCCTCTCACCTTCATCTTATGATTTCATAATGGAAGTGTGTTATCGTGTACCTTTTCACATCCACACCATACATGTTCATAAACGTGATAAGCTTATTATCAGATAAAAGGGTCTAGGGGCCCCTAAAGTGAGGTATTCTTTGCCTATCGCCCTTTAATGGGACCCTGTGTCTGAGATCTTGAGACTTGCAATTTGAATATTGATAGAACCGTCTGTAAAAGACGTTTTTGTTCGCTCCTTATAAGTTATGTATATGGGAGTTAAAAGGGTTACAATGGGAGTGTAATAAATTGCGAGTTTTATGCCTTCGAAATGTGTATATATATTCATGCGCGGGTTATATTTAATTTAATTT